CTGTGTCAGAACATTAAAGGTTTGTTAATTTGTTATTGTTTTTTGTTTGTTTTTTTTTTTTTTGTTTGTTTTTTTTTTAATTTTTTTTTTTAAACAAACAACAACAGCGTTTGTTTCTTTATTAAAAAAAATACAAAGCATTTGGAAAGACGCTGAAAAGACATTTTAAAAAAAAAAAAAACAGACAAAGAAAAAAAAAAACAGTTTGATTTCTTTTATAAACATCTTTTTCAATGTCTTTCCAAAGGATTTGTATTTCGCAAGAAAGTTTTTTTTATTTTTTTTTTTTTTTTTTTTTTTTTTTTTTTTTTTTTTTGTTTTTTTTTTAATTTTTGTTGTTAAACAAACAACAACAGCGTTTGTTTCTTTATTAAAAAAAATACAAAGCATTTGGAAAGACGCTGAAAAGACATTTTAAAAAGAAAACAAACAGACAAAGAAAACAAAAAACAGTTTGATTTCTTTTATAAACATCTTTTTCAATGTCTTTCCAAAGGATTTGTATTTCGCAAGAAAAAATGTTACAGTAGACGGTCACTCCACTCACACAAACACACACACACACACCGTATCAACCACTGCTGTTGAGTCAGATTAAAAACTTCACATAAAATAAAAGAGCTTTTAAAAATCAATGAAAAAAATAAAAGGAAAGCATTAGTTTGAAAATTTTCAAGGCTGCGCCAGTAATGACTATTTGTGGCGATGCTTGCGACCTGTCGTCACTTTTCTGCATAATGTGCGTTTTATTTGGGTTTTTTTTCTTTTAACGCGGATGTCGGAAACCCACGTTTTTGCAATCGTCGTTAGTTGCGCAGACTGATTAGAACTTGTGTATGTTTTGTGGAATTAAACATTTTGATAAGCCGGCTAGATTGTATGTGATGCTAAATGTTTGTTAGGCTGGTGGACTTACTAAAATAACAAGGTTAAGCAGCAAGCCAAAATGAGAAAATGAGGTAACTCTCTAGTCGGGGAAAGGGGGGGGGGTCCCTGTAGTGCCCGACCTTGTAGTGCCTTCAGAAAATTCAGTTTATACATCTGAATCGGGTTAACAACAGTAAACATATACCTTGTGGTCAGCTCATGCATGGAAGCTGGCAGATCCAAGCTACGGTGACAGATCGAAGCTAGGTTGACAGATCCAAGCTGCGTTGACGGACCCAAGCTGCGCTGACAGACCCAAGCGGCGTTGACAGACTCGAGCTGCGTTGACAGACCCAAGCTGCGTTGACAGGCCCAAGCTGCGTTGACAGACCAAAGCTGCGCTGACAGACCCAAGCTGCGTTGACAGACCCAAGCTGCGCTGACAGACCCAAGCTGCGTTGACAGATCCAAGCTGCGTTGACAGACCCAAGCTGTGTTGACAGACCCAAGCTGCGTTGACAGAACCAAGCTGCGTTGACAGACCCGAGCTGCGCTGACAGACCCAAGCGGCGTTGACAGACCCAAGCTGCGTTGACAGACCCAAGCTGCGTTGACAGATCATTTCGTTTCTTGTTATTCTACTCTTAAACTGTTGTAGTTGTTTTTGTTTTTTTTCATGAATGTTGAAAGGCGGTTAAGGACATATGCATTTTTAGTTACGATTGTAAGCATAGGTGTGCGTGACTCTGTGAAAAAAGGCGCTCTCTCAGGCTAATGAGACGTTTTATGAAATATAAATTTGTCACACTCATAAAATAAATCATGTTCATGCTTACATAACAATCTTTTTAAAAAAAATTAGTCCATTCGTATTTTAACCGTACTTAAAATTTGCCCACCATTCAGAAATCTTAGTTTCAGTTTTTAGCACAACAAAAAAAATATAAAAAAAAAAATAATTCACTATTTTCTTGAAAACAAAAGCTCGTTTTCCGCTCGTCTGTTTTCCTTCGAGTCTTGTACTCACTTAAAATGCAATTAAATGAATCGATTCACTTATGTTTAAATTTCAGTGAGGTCCATTATCAGATCTATGGCACGGTAAACAGTCTCCCACCGTCAGTCAGAGAGTGCATGTAGAATTCAGCGGATTCTATTTTCGGACTCGGCGCCGACCAGCATCGACATTGGAGCTACTCATGCGTTGATGTGAATTAGCCTAAGATAGGTTAATGTGACGCGACCTTGTGGCTATTTACCTTTATTCGGTTCTCACTCTCTCTCTCTCTCTCTATCTCTCTCTGTCTCCACCCCCCTCCCCCACCTCAAATCTGGTGAAAGTTTTGAAAAAGCCGTTTCTTCAATCCTTCTCTTGCATTTCAGCCAACAGAAAGAAACTATGCAGTACAGTACAACCATGGAGACATATTTTCTGTTGATGTCAACTGTTATTTTGTCAACAACCAGAGTATCAGGTGAGTAGCAGCAATCTGATGCCCGTGATTACTGATACGACTTTAGCAGCTATTGATTATTCTGTCAATACTTGCGTAATCCGTCCAGTTTAGTCCCTCCATTATCCTAATATCTATCCATCCATCCATCCATCCATCCATCCATCCATCCATCCATCCATCTCTATCCATCAATCCATCCATCCATCCATCCATCCATCCATCCATCCATCCATCCATCTCTATCCATCCATCCATCCATCCATCCATCCATCCATCCATCCATCCATCCATCCATCCATCTATCCATCTATCTATCTATCTATCTATCTATCTATCTATCTATCTATCTATCTATCTATCTATCTATCTATCTATCTATCTATCTATCTATCTATCTATCTATCTCTCTCTCTCTCTCTCTCTCTCTCTCTCTCTCTATCCATCTATCCATCTCTCTATCTCTCTATCTCTATCTCTCTCTCTCTCTCTCTCTATCTACCTCTCTCTATCTCTATATATATATATATATATATATATATATATATATATATATATATACATATATATATATACATATATATATACATATATATATAATATATAGTTTTGTTTTGGCAACCAAATGTTTTTTTTAAAGTATGCCACATATAATCGCGTCTCATATTTTTAACGGGTAAGATTGTTATTAGTGCGATAGTTTGAAAATTAGATATAAGTCATCGAACAGTTGAGAAAATAAACGTTTGGCTGTCACACACACTCGTAAAACGCCTGCCAATATTATTTTTTTTTATTATAACGGCGGTTTTCCTAGCACCCGTTAAGAAGAGAAAGAGTTTAGGACTAAGACTTTCAGGAAGAGAGGCAAAGACTCCACGTTACCTATAAAAATATCTCAGTTTTACATAGATTTATTTTTGTCCTTAAATGATGAACTATCACTTGTTTCATTCTCATCATACGCAGCCAGGCGCTTAGTAATATTTAAAAATAGATCTCTTTTGTTTAAAATATATATATATCCATTCTATTTTATTGACCATGCCGATTTGGTTCGATGTGTACAAATTATTGTAATTCGTTTTAACAGTTTTCTTAAAAGTTTCAACTCAAATTGGCTGGCAATCTCACCGAACAATTGGTTTTTGTCGGTTTCAACAGTTTAGGAATCACAATTTATTTCACAAAATTGCAACTTTTCAAACCCGTTTCTTGCATTTCCCAGGCCAATTCCAGTGGACCGGAAGTGAATGGCCAGTGGACGGTTGTCACTCTCGCAACGTCGATCTAGTTTTGATCCCCGACGCTTCAAGCCAGGACCAGTACGCCCAACAAATGCGGTTTTTTTCCCGGCTGGTCGACGTGTTCTCCCCACTGGCAGAGACAGACCTGGGCAGGCTCAGGGTAGCATTGGTGGCGTTCAAGTCAGATGGGTCCGGAAATACGCAGGTGGACATCAGAATATCGCTGGACGCCCACCAGAAGAAGAGCGGTTTAAAACGGGCTATCGAAAATAACCCGTTCGTGTTGGGGAACGTGACCTTTGACTCGGTGATGACCATACTCCAAAACTGGTTCAAGAAGACGTCAACTTTGACCCGCCAAGACGCCGTAAAACTCGTCATCATGGCCGCCGCCAGCATCAAGGTGCCGGACAGAATCCTGACAACCCAAGACCCATCCTTAGCGACGACGATCTCGCTCAGCTTTCCGTTGTTCCTTGTCATATTTCAGCGAGATCTCTACGTTCTCTTCGGGCAGTTTTCGCAGAAGAACAGTCTCGCATTCGTTCCGGATATCAAAGAATTTGACGTGATCAAGAACAATTTATCGATTAGTTTGTGCAGACAGTGTTTTGATGGGTGGGTGTCAAGGGTGGACAACTCAAGTGCCCACAAGCCGGTCAGCGTTGCCTGTTATAAACTGGAAAAGCTTGAAACACAGCAAAACTGGATAGACGTTCGGGCCCGTTGTGAGAACGAGCATTTCTCTAACCTGGCATCGTTTGAAACTAAGCAAGAGCTCAGGTTCGTCAGAAATTTCCTCCTGGGAAACAAAACATTTTTGGCGGCGTTGACGAACAAGACGAAAACCCCAGTCGGTGTGTTTATCGGTTTGAGGAGAGGGGACTGGACAAGAGGACGCAGGTTTAAGTGGGTCAACAACATGCCCTTGGTGCACACGTACTGGGGCAGCGATCAACCCATGAACGGCATCTCGGCGAGTTGCGCCCTTTGGACATTCATAACGAGGTTACATGCCACGCAAAACGCGTGTCCGGAGAGAAACGACAGCGGGTCTGTTTTATACGAAACTAACAACACCGATCACCAAGTGTGTGACAACTTTGTAGACTATTGGTCGAGCGTTGGGTGTGGTAGCTATACGGGAACGTTTTTCCTATGCGAATCTGACTACAAGCTTGAGGACGAAAATTCTGTAGGCGAGATTTGGAATTTACAAATGCCAGCGGAGTATACAATTTTAAAGGCATTGCAGAAAGGCGAGCTGGCACAAACAAGCAAGCTAACATTTATCTCCGCTTCTTCCCTGAGAATGTTCACGGGGTCAAGGATCATTGCAAACCCCAACATGACCGAGCTGGCTTCATTTGATTCTGTGCCTAAGTTTGAATGCGAGAAAGACAGTGCGAACGCCATTTTCTACAACTTCGTCTGCGACTTCCGGTTCGACTGCCAGAACAAGAGAGACGAAAAGATTTGCAACTACCGGGAGTGCAAACCAGAGTTCGAGTTCACGTGCCGTTCTGGGCAGTGCATCTTGAAGGAGCTCGTGTGCGACCTTTACGAGGATTGCCGAGATGGTGACGACGAGCTGTGGTGTTTCCCCTGTCCTCACGCGAGATGTCAAGACGGCCGTTGCTTGCCGAAGCATTGGTTCAGCGATGGTGAGATCGACTGCGATACATGCTCATCTGTCGTAGAGCCAGAAACTACGAACGAGAAGTCACAGCTGGATAAGTACATCTCGTTAGAAATGAAGTCGGCACAGATCACGGAGCCCAATGGGTGTGTTTTTACGTGTAACGGGACGAAATGCGTGGCCTTGTCGATGCTAAACAATGGTATTGTTGATTGCTTGGGATCGGAAGGGCCGATTGATGAAACCATCGGAGCATTGGAACGCACGACGTGCTACAACGTTGAATCCGCGCAAATACAGTACAGCAACTGGGCTCCTAAATGTGTTTACGTCAAAGACAGGTACGGCGAACCGTTAGGGTGTAGGAACATGAAACATTTGGAGAACTGCGAAGACTTTATCTGCCCTGACGGCTACGTGAAATGCCCCGAGTCCTACTGCATCCCGTCGCACTACGTTCAAAACTCCGTCTTCGACTGCGCGAACGGTGAAGACGAGAGCAGCGCTTTGATTCTAGAATGCCTAGGGCATTTCATTTGCTCGTCTGATAACAGGAAACATCAGTGTCTCCATCTGGATCTGGTCTGTGACGGTTTCAGACATTGTCCCAACGGCGATGACGAGAAAAGCTGTGACGTGACATGCGCAGAAGGATTTCTCTGCGTCGGCGGAACGGTCGTCCCGTCTCTGGACAGACCCGAGGTTCTTACTGACCTCGTCTTCATCGACGTCAGAACCCGCTTCTTAGATCTATCCGGGATAGACCTATCGAAGGTCTTTCCTGTCTCTATCATCGGTCATTTCGAAAACATCATCACAGCCAAGTTGGCTAACTGCAACATCACTAACGTCAACGAATGGAGCGTTATGAACGAATTTCGGTCAATACAGTCACTGGACCTAAGCTACAACCGGATCCCCGACACCACCACGTCATGTATATTTCGTTTTATGCCAAGTCTCAAATTTCTCAACTTGAGTATGAATGCACGTTTGTTGTCGCTTAGCAATAACTCCTTTCGACTGCTTCAGAAAACTAGGTCTCCCTTGGAAGTCCTTGATTTGTCATTCACCGGTTTAACTGAGTTGCGATGGGCGGTTTTTAAAACACTGACCTCCTTAACCTACCTGAGTTTGAGAGGCACGCGGATAACTGTAATCAAGCCTGATATGTTTCCAGAAAATTTTGCTATGGCCGAGCTGGACATGCGTGGTCTGAGCGCCGCGGGTATAACTCCCGGACTCTTCAAGAATATTACGATCACATCCAAAATGTACTTTGACAACTTCAAGCTCTGCTGTCCTCAGCTCCACAACGAGAACACCTCCATCAAGGGCTGCCAGTTTATAAAAGATCCCTTTTCTTCCTGTTCCGATCTCATGAGCTCTGGTATCCTTAGAACCGTCCTCTGGGTCAACGGCTTTTTGGCAGTATCCGGTAACGGTGCCGTCATTTGGTACAGATTGGTGTTCGACAAGAGAATTTTTAGAATGGGCTACGGACATTTTGTGACGCAACTTGGCATCTCAGACATGCTGATGGGGATTTATTTGATAACGATCGCGGCGGTTGACTGCTTCTACAGAGATAGCTACCTTTGGAACGAGGCGGCCTGGAGAAGCAGCTTCCTCTGTAAATTATCTGGATTCATTTCGACGCTTTCCGTTGAGGTGTCCACCTTCTTTATCTTCCTCATCACGCTGGACAGATTCCTGGTGATCAGATTCCCGTTTGGACAGTTCAGGATAAAAGGGCACTTAGTTGCCGTTGTCTGTGCATCGGTCTGGGTTACGGGCGTAACGATTGGTCTAATGCCAGGGCTACCTTACTTTGGTGATTGGTCGGTGTACACGACTTCCGGAATGTGTCTCGGCCTGCCTCTGATCTCCGACGAAAACCCCGGATGGCGGTTCGTGCAGGGCATTTTCATCTACCTTAACTTTATCCTTTTTCTCCTCATCGCCTTGGGTCAGGTCGCCATCTACAGGACCATGTCCGCCATGAGCATGATTCAGAGCTGCCTGACCAACTCCAGCATGAGGCGATCACAGGACATGACCGTGGCCAAGCGGCTCTCCCTGGTGGCCGTCAGCAACTTTCTGTGTTGGTTTCCCGTGGGAGTGACGGGCATCGTCGTGTTGGCTGGACAGCAGATCGGAACGGACGCGTACGCCTGGCTGGCGGCCGTTGTGCTGCCCGTCAACTCCGCCATCAATCCCCTGGTCTACACCATCCCGGGTCTCATCTTACGCTTTAGGAGGCCGATCGAGTCGCCAACACAGCAGTTGAGTCTCAAATCGCAGAACTGCAAATAAACCAGAATGACTGCGGCAATTCGTACAGTGGGGAACAAAAATGACAATTGAGACCGATTCAATGGCACGCATGAGATCTTGGGAAAACTGATCATTGCATATTTCGAAATTTCTTTTTTTTTAAACTAAATAAACTCCGTACTTGTATCCCATAAAGCTACTTTAATCTGTTAGCTGGTTTCTCGTTTAGGATCCTGTCTTGAATTCAATTAAGTTACTATAGTTCGTGAGCTCGTTTCTCGTTTTGGATTCTGTGGTGGTCTTGATTTCCATAAAGTTAATCTAATGTGTTAGCTCGTTTCTCGTGTTGGATACTGTGGTGGTCTTGATTTTCATAAAGTTAATCTAATGTGTTAGCTTGTTTCTCGTGTTGGATTCTGTGGTGGTGAGTCACACACCATTTCCGCCCCAAAAACCCGCCCCGTCCACGAATTGTTGAAAATTGATAGCAGAAGATCCAAATGGATCATACAATAAAATTAGATGATTTTTTTACCCTTTTGGATGCAATAACTCACTTCATGTTATGCAAACCCATGTACATTACCGTATATGTTATTCCTTTGTATGATATGTTTACAGAAACGTAATAATTCATTTTTATCAATTTAAATTTGAAATGGTGTCAAAATTCTATTATTACAAATAATCGTAATAAAAATATGTTTTAAAATGAAAACATTTCAAGATTTCGGCTGCAACTTGTTCAAATCTGTTTGGTGACGGATTTATCTCAAGTATTTGTTTATGGGATTATCTCAGATGTTTGTTTACGGTATTATCTTATGTGTTTGTTTACGGGATTATCTCAGGTGTTTGTTTACGGGATTTTCTGATGTGTTTGTTGATGATCACAGAAGAACTGATTGGTCAGGTCCCGTTATTTAAATATACAAAAGTTCATTTTTTTAATAGAAAGGTACACAGTAAGAGACCAGAAACGCTCAGGTTTTTACACCCTGTTAACTCTACCCCTTTTCATATCTTTGTGCATCTAAGATTGGTTGTAACAAGTGCAGGCGTTTGAAATATTTACATTATGATGGGACTGCCTACAAGCCGTGTGACGTGAATAAATAGTGGAACAAGATATTAAGTTAAGGCTTGAAAAAAAAAGAAAAGACAAAGCAGTTCAAAAAATAACTTTTCGGCTAAATGCTCCTTCAACATACAAAAAAAAAATTAAAAAAAATCAATTTAATTGAAAACTTAAGTGATCCCAAATCTTAAACTAGCTTCTTTTTCTACATTGTGATCTGGGAACACTTACGTTTTTCAATTTCAAATCATTGCTTTTCTTGCTTGTCCCCCCGAAGAAGAAATTTCGCTGAAACATCCTTTTAATTATTCTGTCTTTTTTTAAAACCCAAACAAATCTTTCTCCACTTTTTATTTGGAAATATTTTGTACTGTTAATTACCGCCCTTTGATCAATTATTTACCCTGAATGTTATCTGTCTGGTCGAGCGCATAACCTAATTCTTTTTCATGGGCCTTAACTGCGGTGCTAATGGCAACAGCGGGGGAACTGGATGCAAGTAAATTGATGACCCTGTTAACCCATTGCAACAACCCAGTGGAATGCGGCTGTTGGTAGAGGGGAAACAAATACTGGACATTCAAACCAGCTCAGCAACTGATTTGCTTTGTTATTTAACCCCTTTAAAAGCAAATTCCAATATTTTTTATTAAATACCAGGCCAGCCCGACTCGGAGTAGAGCCGGACACCCTTGTCGGAATGTATGTGTTCTCTGTTTGATTTGTTTAGTTTAAATTATTAGAGCTTTGGGCAAAACTTAGATAAAAACTAGGACATTTTCAAGACGTCCAAGATACAACCCATTACTTTTGCATCGTCTTTCTTCGGGTTTGCCCTACCTGGTGCTTTATATTTCTTGTAAAATGTCCGCTTCACATACACTGGCATAGGATGAAAGGCTAGAAGGATGACGGGAAGAGGGGGTAAGGCCCGTCCGCATGGTACATCTTTGAACGGCGTCATTTTGGTTACTATATACGGCTTTCCTTTATTGATCACTTTGTATGTTTTGTGTTTCCCGTGGATAGAGAAGTGGGAGGGTCGGTGGGTGGAGGGCGCCCCGGGCTTCACTAAATCTAGCAGCGTCACTTCGCACATGGTCAAACGCTATGCTCTAACATTTCTTGTTTCGTCCTCACTGAATTTTTCAAATGTCAGTTAATGACATATCCCCAAGACACGGCTGCCACTTACTAACTAAGCAACTGCTGTAAATAGATCATTAAATAGTCAGCCTCGGTTTGAAATAGAACCCATCGATAAATGATACATTTTTAAAAAAAATGGATTTAGATTGTTTTAATAATCGTTTTCGAAAATTATAATATTCAGTGAGGACAGAACGAGTCACCTCAGCACTTTAAAATTTTAAAAAATGCAAGATGTCCAAGATGGATGGCCACAGCTCTGCTCATGGACCACGTGACGTATCTTTAAAGGTTGTTTTTTTTTAAGACAAAAAATTAAGTAATAGTTTTTATAAATGTATGAATAGCTAAACATTTTCAAAATAATATCTTTAAATTTAAACCGAGGAATTCCATGTGAATTATCAATTCCTTTTTTATTAAGTCCCCTGACACCGAAAATTATTAAGGACTTTTTTTTTGTTTTTTAAATATTCTCTTCAACCAAAATTTTGATAATTCCAAAATAATTCCTTTTAGAGATCCACCGATTTATAATATACATACATACATATATATATATATATACCACCGATTTATATTATACTGCGTAATCGGACGTCCTGGATGCATCCTTGTTCAAAACATTGGCACCTCATCGAATATGTCATCATCAGGAGGAAGGACAGTCACGACGTAACGGTAACCAAATCCCTGTGTGGTGCAGAATGCTGGACTGATCCTCGTCTTATTATCAACAAGCTCAACTTACACATGTCATTTCTGCGACCCAACATGCTATACGCCTTCTCTGAAGCGACAAAGCACCAGGTGATGATTCAATCCCGTCTGAAAAATACAAAGAATGGGGGCAGCTCTGTCTGAAAGGCTTCACCAACTGTTCATACTTATGTGGCCGCAAGAAATCATTCCACAGGACTTCAAAGATGCATCTATTGTTCACCTGTACAATCGTAAAGGGAACAGTCAATCATGCGAAAACCACCGGGAAATATCTCTGCTCTCAATTGCATGCAAGATATTAGCCAGAATCATGCTAAATCGTCTTAAAGAGCATCTTGAAAACGTTTTACTACCAGAAAGTGAATGTGGCTTCCGGAAGGAACGAGAAACCATCGGTATGGTGTTTGAGGCCAGTCAGCTACAGGAAAAGTGCAGGGAACAATATGTTGACCTCTTCTCTACATTTGTAGACCTGACCAAAGCTTTCGACATTGGCAGTATAGAGGGCCATTTGAAGATCATTGCCAAATAAAAACAATAAAAATGCTTTGATGGCGTCTTGTTTTTTTTTAACAACAACAGATGGTTAGATGGGATTAGTGGACATGTTTTTTTTTAATGAGGAATATTTCTTTGACTATTACATTAAACCCCCAGTGCATGATTTCCTCATCAACATCAGTAACAGAAACATTGCAAATCCCATCTACATGCATAGGAGCCAAAATGATCAATAAATTGATCGTGGGCCCTTAAGATAAAGAAGAAGAAAGATACGTATGCCCCAGAAAGTTCGTGTCAATGGTATGACTATTCCATGAAGGTATGCAGGCTACAGTTCGGGATAATGGACAGACGTCAAAATCATTCCCTGTAACAAACGGCGTGAAACAAGGCTGTGTACTTGCCCCAACGCTTTTCAGCCCACACAATGCTGACCGATACATTCAGAGAGGGAGACGCTGGAATTGGCCCCAGATACCGAACTGATGGTAATATATTCAACCCCAAGAGGCCACATGCCGAAACGAAGGTCCTGACAGACACCATCTGGGACCTCCTGTATGCAGACGACTGTGCCCTAAACGCTGTATCAGAAGTGGATATGCAACGCTGCGTCACAAGCTTTTCCAATGCCTGCACAAACTTCGGGCTCACCATTAACATACAAAAACCTGAGGTCATATACCAACCAACTCCTTGAAGCCTTTATGTTGAGCCCAACATCCAAGTATATGGCGAAAGACTTAAGGTGATGAAAGGCTTTTCCTATCTCGGCAGCACATTGTCCCAAAGCGAAACCATCGATGACGAGGTTAACCTCCGTATTGCGAGAGCCAGCGCAACCTATGGAAGATTGTCTAAGATCGTATGGAACAGGAGAGGTATCAACACTCAAACTTAACTGAAAATGTATCAGGTGGATGTTCTCTACGCTTCTAAATGCCTGTGAAACGTTGACGGTCTACCAACACCATGCAAGAATGCTGAATCACTTTCATACAACAAGACTCATAAAAATCGTCAACATTAAATGGCAGAACAGGGTCCCAGACACTGAGGTGCTCATAAGGCCAGTTCTTCCCCGGCATCTTCACAATCTTGATGAAGTCCCAGCTTCGCTGGGTGGGACATGCTGTGAGAATGTCACATTACAGTCTTCCAAAAAGAATTTTCTATGGTGAGCTTGAACAAGAAAGCGGTCTGCTGGCGGACAAAAAAACGCTTTAAAAACAACATAAAAGCTTCACTGAAAGCGTTCAATATAAACTCAGACACGTGGGAGGAACAAGAAAAGGATTGAACTTTATGGCGTTCCACTATGCACAGGAGCTCCATGCAACATTAAGTTGACAGAATAGCGGCTGTAGAGCGCAAGAGACATGCCAGATTGGACCGGTCTGACTCTGCTCCCGGAGATGCACCATCATTCCCCTGCACCTACCGCACAAGAGAATTTCGTGCCAGAATCGGCCTCATTAGCCATCTGCGCACCCACAGACAGAACCAGTACAAACTCTGATGATGAAAGTGGTCATGGTCGACTCCCGACTGAACAACAACTAAACTACTACAACTATATATATATATATATATATATATATATTAAAAGGTAGGATAAAAAGTTTTTGAAAATCATTATCATAAATATTTAAGTCAACTATAGAGGTGGGAAGAGAAGGGCGCCATCTTGAAGTCTCCCAAGTGCCGGCCAACCCAACTCAACTGCCGGCCAACCCAACTCAAAAATGTACCAATGAAGAACAACCTCTATACAAGTAAAAGATACAGCACAACTTTGCCATCAAATCCGCGTATACAGTATACAAGTCATACAGAATTTCGTGTACAGAATTATAACAACATGTTTTCTTTCTGTCTTTTTATTTCTTTTTTTTTTTTAAATATATGTTTGCGCCGCGAAAAGGGGGGGGGGGGGTATTTTGAAATTAATGGGAAATGCTGATGATTTGCATAGTATCTTCACCTTCTTAAAAACAAGTTCTCCGTTCTTCAGCTCTAATCGTTCCCATACCAAAAAAGGAAAAAAAAACTTGGGGCTCCAGCAGATCCTTACAAGGATCCCCGAAATCAGACGCCAAAGCTAATTAAGGGATGTTTGATGTCCACGTGTCTCAATCTCCAAGCAGACTTGGAAAGCATCCAGTCAGGTTTGTGTTGTCTTAACAGCCCTACAGCATCACGCTCGTGTTATCTCCGTCCAATAATGACGTCGGCATTAAAGTTGTTTGGCAGTTTAACTTGGAAAAAAAAAAAAAAACAGGAGTGAAGTCCCAAACTTCAGCGGACAAAATGATCACACTCATCCTCTAGTTACGCCAAAGTAGCCTGTCCGGTTGAAAGATGTGTGTACTCAGTACTCAGTTCAGTTTGTTGTGCAGGCTTGATATATTTTTTTCACGAGCGTTGTGTCACGGCAGTTATTCAGAAACTTACTTTATTCTTTGGAGTTTCAAAAAAACGATCTCCAACGCGAGAACGTTACAGCTGAGCCTACGACGCCTGCTTTTTGACATATTATAGAATGAATTTAGTTTTTTTTTATTTTCGGGACTTAAACTCGGCCATATTTTCCAGGCGTCAGAGTGGCCTATTTCAAACAATTTGCATATTTTGATGTCAAACAGCGAGTTTAAGAATGGCCATGCCCCGACTGTTTTCACTGGCTTTTCTTTTTCTAGGTCTCATAAAGGACGCGACGGCAGGTAAAAGAAATTTTGAAGTTAAATTGGCTGCTTTATTTGTATGTACCGGGGGATAAAATGGCTGCTTATTTTCTTTCTTTTTTTGACAAAGTCAAATATCTTTCTTTTTTTTTTTTAGGTGGGGCGGGCGGCGGGTGGGGGTCTTAATTTATAAATTAGCTCCCTTGTGTTTCTTTTTTTAAATTTAATTTATACCGTTGGATTAATGTTTTGAACTTTTTGTCATCTCTATATGTGTTGACTCACAATAATGGACATGTCTTAAATTAGAGGAGCAAAGGAAATTTTTACATAATTTCAAATTTAGAAACTGATTTCACGGGTTGCGTTATGGGATGCTCGAATACGGGAACTTTAGTAGTGCCATAAACAAAACAGCATAATTATGTTCATCATTTCTAGCATTGATTGATGCCCCTATGTTTTGTGTGATCCTTTCAGGTGGGCCCACTCAGAGTCAATGGCCTATCATCAACTGTTACGCTGAGAACATTGACGTCATCCTAGTGGCCGATTCCAGCAACGGAACCATCCGCAAGCAGACTCGTTTTCTGTCTAAGCTTGTCGACGTCTTCTCGCCGTCCACAGAGAAGGACCTCGGTAGGTTGCGGGTGGCACTGGCGGTCACTGGCAAAAACCTCGCCCTGCCCTACAACCTGAAGACGCTGATCGCTTTCGACCAGGTCGTCAATAAGGCTGAACTGAGAAGTCAGATGACCAGATTGCGTTATGAGTATGAAACAGATGACGCCGCGTATCCTCCCTTCGTTTTCACAAGAGATTGGTTCACAAGGAACAGCCTGCGTCAACACACGATCACGGTACTGATCGCGACTCTAAATCCACCCGCGTCAGACCAATGGCTTTTTCTGGGGAGTTTTCCCAACGACACACTTCCGCCGTTTGTCTTCGTTCTCGGCGACGGTGGAGACGTTCCGGAAAACGCTGTGCGTAGCTTTAGGGGTCAGTTCAAGTTTACCGATCTCAAAAACCTCGATGTACCCCATGATATTTCTCCTCTCTTGTGTCAGCCGTGCAGACGCGATTGGTTTCCATACAAGCCTGAGCGAGTGAACCTACCCACCGACGTGGTGTCTTGTTACAAACTGATCGAAAAAGTCAATGACCCCATACTTTGGATGGAGGCCAACAAGCTCTGCGCGCGCGAGAATACTGAGTTGGTGTCCATCGAGACCAAGGAAGAGTTGAACTTTTTGAGACGTGAGATCCTTCGTCGGAAACCAGACCCTCCTCGCGAAGGATGGAATGTAATGATTGGTCTAAGGAGGGACGATGCTACGAAAGGCCGAAGATTTCGCTGGGTGAGCAAGATGCCGCTTGTGCATTCGCACTGGAAGGCGCAACATCTTCAGTCAGGCCCGACGGCCGGCTGCGTGATATGGAAGTTTGAAAATTGCGACGCCGAGAATCTGGGCTCATCAAACCAGAGCAGCGGGAGATCTCGTAATGAAGTCGTTGCAGATATGTCATCGCACGCTGTGCCCGACGAGCCGCATAGCGACTGCCTCCGCCCCGAGAACGGTGACACGCGATTGGACTATTGGGTCAGCGTGAGGTGCGGAGAGAATGTCGGAAACATGTTTCTTTGTGAGAGTAACCAGAAGCTTTCCAAATGGCGGCCGTACTTTTCATACCACGGTGAGCTCGATCTGAAAAAACCTGAACAAAGCAGCATTTCCGCTGCCATTGCGAGGGGCAGGCTGGTCTACGCTGAAAATATGACGTCATTCAAGGCCATCACCGTCGCCCCGAGAACTACAGGAATTAATCTCTTGATAAACGAAAGCTTGAGCTTGAACATTCAAGCAGACTCCATTCCGGTTTTTTCATGTCATAAATTAGAGGAGAAAATACTGTACAATTACGTGTGTGATTTTAACGCAGAGTGCCATGGGAGGTTTGATGAAGTCGACTGCCATCATCCGACGTGCATGTTCGGCGACGAGCTGTTCCACTGCCGTTCCGAGCAGTGCATCCCGAAAGACCTGGTTTGCGATCTCTACAACGATTGCTTGGATGGAGACGACGAGGACGCCTGCTTGCATTGCCCGCACGCACGCTGTCAGGATGGTCGGTGCCTGCCCATGCACTGGTTCGGCGACGGTGAGGTCGACTGTGATTCGTGCTCAGACTATAATATTTCAGTGGAAATGACGTACGCCGAGGATCCACGCATCAGCGAGTGCGTGTTTACCTGTAACCGAACCCAGTGCGTGTACGCGTCTATGTTAAACGACGGGGTTGTTGATTGCTTGGGCCCCGAAGGACCGATAGATGAAACCATTGGAGCGTTAGAAAACACCACATGTTATCAACCCGGTTCGGTGGGTATAGATTACTCGAATTGGGCCCCCAAATGCGTTTATATCAAGGACAGGTACGGAGAAACTTTAGGTTGCAGAAACATGAAACATTTGGAAAACTGCGAAGGATTCGATTGCCCGGCGGGTTTTCTGAAATGCCCCAGGTCCTACTGCATTCCAACATACTACGTCCACAACTTTATTGCCGATTGCCCCAATGGAGAAGATGAGAGCGCTTACGCGAAAATTGACTGCTCCGGATATTTCATCTGTGAGATGGACACTTTACCCAATGTTTGCCTTCATCCCAACTTTGTCTGTGATGGACACAAGCACTGTCCGGGGGGTGACGATGAGGTGAACTGCAACTTGACCTGCAGCCCTGGATTCATCTGCCTGGGAGGGGTGGTCATCGTCACTCCATCGGCCACAGAGCTGGACATCAACCTGTTGGGCCCGGAGACACGGTATTTTGATACATCAGGGGTTGACGCGTCTAATGTCTTCACCGACTTCCCATTTCATTTATTCCAGAACGTCATCACAGCAAAGTTTTCTGGCTGTAACATAAGCAATGTTACAGCCCATTTCAATATATCCTCCGTTTTAAACAGCCTCCGATCCCTTGATCTGAGCGGTAATATGATAGAAGAGGTGGCGTCAGCAAATATCTTTAAACGTATGCCCGGGTTGGAGACGTTGAGCCTGAGTAGAAACTTCAACCTGGTTAAACTCTCCAAGGACGCCTTTTCGATATTTCCATTTTACAAATCAACCATCGAACATTTGGATTTATCATTCACGGGCATTCGAGAAATCCATTCGCAATTTTTCTGGCCGCTGTTGTGCCTGAAAACGCTGAACGTAAGTAACACTCCACTGGTCATGACACAATTTGGTCTCCTCACCCGCATGATCAAACTGGACGTTTTAGACCTCAGGAGCATCAGTGACGTCACCGCCCGCCCGGACATGTTTAAGAGCGTTATAGTGAAACAGCAGCTTTTCGTAGACAGCTTCAAGCTCTGCTGTCCGCAGCTTCACAATGAAAAAACTTTGATCGAGTTGTGTCATTTCGTCAAAGATCCCTTCTCTTCGTGCTCCGATCTCATGAGCTCGTCGGTTCTCAGGGTGTTCCTCTGGGTCAATGGGTTCTTGGCGCTGCTTGGGAACGCAGCCGTTATCGCGTACCGGTTCATCTTCGATAAGAGAACCCTGCGCATGGGCTACGGTCAGTTCGTGACCCACCTCGGCTTCTCCGATATGCTGATGGGCGTGTACCTGATCATGATCGCGGTTGCGGACACCAGCTACAGAGGGAGCTACCTGTTTGAGGAGTTCGCGTGGCGCAACAGCACGGCCTGCAAAGTGGCGGGGCTCATATCAACGTTATCGTGCGAGATATCCACCTTCTTCATTTTTCTGATCACCCTGGACAGGTTTCTTGTCATAAGGTTTCCTTTTGGGAAATTCAGGCTTCACGGCCGGGGGGTGGTACTTCTCTGCATCTTGACCTGGGCAACCGGCACGTTCATGGCCGCTATTCCCGGCATGCAGTTTTTCGGGGACTGGTCCGTGTACACATCGACGGGTGTGTGTGTCGGGCTTCCCTTGCTCCCCCGCAGTGACGTCGGCTGGCTGTTCGCCCAGAGCTTGTTCATCTACGTGAACTTTTTCCTTTTTACCCTGATCGCCATTGGGCAGATCGTCATCTACAGGACCATGGTGGTGATGAGCATCGCCAACAGTGCTCTCACCAACGCCAGCAGCAGGCGGGCCCAGGACCTGACCGTCGCCAAGCACCTCTCCCTGGTGGTTGTGACCAACTTCCTGTGCTGGTTTCCGATTGGTGTTCAAGGGTTGATGACTCTTGGCGGCTACTACCTGGGCCTGGACGCCTACGCCTGGACGGTCGTATTCGTCTTGCCCATCAACTCGGCCATTAACCCAATCCTCTACACGGCGCCTGCTGTCTTCAGCAAGTCGTGCGAGATAAAGGAGTCCGCTTCCCGATACCTGACCCACTCGAAGCCCTCTTAACAAACACACGGGGCCGATACCTGACCCACTCGAAGTCATCCTAACAAAAACACGGGTTCGATGCCTGACCCACTCGAAGCCATCCTAAAAAACCAAACACAAAGGGCTCTTACATGAACCACTCGAAGCCAACCTAACAAACACATGAGGCTGATACCTGACCCTATCGAAGTATCCTAACAAACCAACAACAACAAAAAAAAAGGGGGGGGGGGAGTTGTATCATCTTCATGTATAGAGTTAACTGGAGAAGCCAACCTAACAAACACATGAGGCTGATACCTGACCCTATCGAAGTATCCTAACAAACCAACAACAACAAAAAAAAAAGGGGGGGGGGGGATTTGTATCATCTTCATGTATAGAGTTAACTGGCAATAAGTCAGAACTACACAAATATTTCGGTATATTTTTATTTATTATTTTAAAAAAATAACAATGAGCATTTCGAGTGAGCAACAGCTTGAGGTTATTAAATGTCTGATCCCTTTGTTGTGTAGCATCCATCACTTGATTGATCTATCCAAATGAGCAGATGCCTGTAAAAATAACAAATCCTTAAATAAAAATATCACATTGGCATTTCATTTGTTTTTCTTGCATATAGAAATGCTTACACAAAGCCTGATCAAGATGTTTATAAAATATGTATCTACCAGAAAATTACTTTTACGAATAAAATAACACTATGCTTGCTAATAAAATAACATCGATAAACTTAACAAGATAATTGTTTTGTTTTTTTTTAAGGTTTTTTTTCCTCACCGACTCATTAGTATTGTTTTTACCATAGTATGATAGTTCCATTAATTTCACAAAGGCATGAAGTTATTGAAACGTAACCTACCTTTAAACACTGCGTTTAAAAAAAAAGTGCAGCCATGTAAATAAAATGATTTTCCCACTTTCTACTTTTATGACCCTAGATCTTGGCTACAGTTTAAAAAAATTGGGTGGATTTGTTTCCCCACCCACCACCCCCACCCCCCCCCCTTTTTTTTTTTTAAGCTATAAATCAATATTTTTATTTCTACGACAATGTTTTTCCCACTTTCTACTTTTATTACCCTAGATCTTGGCTACAGTTTAAAAAAATTGGGTTGATTTGTTTCCCCACCCAACACCCCCACCCCCCCCCCTTTTTTTTTTTTAAGCTATAAATCAATATTTTTATTTCTACGACTTGAGCAGTGTTGTGATACACTCACAGACATTGACAGCTACGCTGACAGCTACATTGCCAAATATATTGACAGTAAAAAATGCAGCCACATTTGCCAGATACATTTAGTTGAATATACTCATATACACATTATATATATATATGTGTGTGTATGTCTGTGTAGGGCTTTTTTGTCATAAAATGCACGTGAATGACATACTGGCACATCACTTTTTGACGGATCCCGATCCCCCCCAAGGAACGTTTGCCAATTGTATGTGTGGTCCACTCGCAGTTGAATCGCGCCATCAAGCGTAGCAGGTCGGGGAAAATTCATTTAAAAACGGAGCGTGCTGACTTCTACCTGAAAAAAAGGAGTGTGTGTGTGTAGGGGGGGGGGTGCAATAAAGCTTGTCCCGGTCTTGGCGACACTAACTCTAACTACAGCATTGCGTGCGAACGGTGAACAATTGCTTTACTTTTTAAAAAAAAATTAATTGTTAAAATGGAAAAAAATGATAATTACTTCTCACCCACCTGTCCTGTTAATATAAGGGCCCGAATGTTAACAGACACAACGCAATAATGTTAACAGACACAATGACTTAATGTAACAGACACAAAGACAGAATGTTAACAGAAACAACGACATAATGTTAACAGACACAAGGACTGAATGTTAACAGACACAAGGACAGAATGTTAACAGGCACAATGACATAATGTTAACAGACACAAGGACGAAATGTTAACAGACACGACGACAGAATGTTAACAGACACCATGACAGAATGTTGACAGACACGACGAGAGAATGTTAACAGACACAATGACATAATGTTAACAGACACAAGGACAAAATGTTAACAGACACAAGGACAGAATGTTAACAGACACAATGACAGAATGTTAACAGACACGACGACAGAATGTTAACAGACACGACGACAGAATGATAACAGACACAATGACCTAATGTTAACAGACACAAGGACAAAATGTTAACAGACACGACGACAGAATGTTAACAGACACAATGACATAATGTAAACAGACACAAGGACACAATTTTAACAGACACGACGACAGAATGTTAACAGACACCATGACAGAATGTTGACAGACACGACGAGAGAATGTTAACAGACACAAGGACAGAATGTTAACAGACACAAGGACAGAATGTTAACAGACACAATGACATAATGTTAACAGACACAAGGACAGAATGTTAACAGACACAAGGACAGAATGTTAACAGACGCAATGACAGAATGTTAACAGACACAATGCAGAATGTTAACAGACACAAGGACAGAATGTTAACAGACACAATGACAGAATGTTAACAGACACAATGACAGAATGTTAACAGACATAAGGACAGAATGTTAACAGACACACGACAGAATGCTAACAGACACAATGCAGAATGTTAACAGACACAAGGACAGAATGTTAACAGACACAATGACAGAATGTTAACAGACACAAGGACAGAATGTTAACAGACACAAGGACAGAATGTTAACAGACACAAGGACAGAATGATAACAGACACAACGACAGAATGTTAACAGACGCCTGTTCATATTTCCCAATCTGATCGTGAGAAGCAGTTTTTGTTTCGGGTATCTTACCAAGGAAGGTGGTGGGCAATGCCCTTACCCCGGATTAAGTCAAATGCCACCCCCCAAAGGCGTAGCTAGAGTGTTTGGTGCCCGGGGACAAGATTCGCGCCCAGGGACAAGATTAATTTTAAAGGGCCTCCTTTTATTTTTCACCTCTCAAACCCATTATTTTCATTAATAATATAATCTCAAGGCCCATTTTGTACTCCTTGAAAATAAAAAGAAAATTTATTTTTGTTTTAAAAAACAACAACACTTAATTGTCATTGTTGTAACATTTTTAAAAAGAATAACTGGTGCCTTTAAATGATTACAAGTTGTGAACTTATGATATATCGATATATTTGATGATGCGTCTATTTAAGGCTAATCTTGTTTAAGGATCACACGTTTCGATTATAAATATCACAGGTCAATAAATCTTAGGATGGCGGTCAGCATAACGGGAATATTTTATGGTCTAATAAATTTTTAAAATATTAATAGTAATAGTAGTAAATATGGCACCGGTGCCTGGGGATATTTCGAAACTCGTTCACTGGTCCGTCATACTGAAAAGTTTGGGAAACGCTGGTCTATTACTAGGGTGTGTCTGGCGCTACATGCATGAAGTAGTTTTACCAGCGGTGCAACCTAGGCACCACAGTAGTGTGGTCTACAAAGTAGGATACTTTTCAACACTCGTGTTCCTTGCATATCATATAGGGTAGACATTAGCCGGGGCGTGCATGGCACATCAGCAGGGGCGTAACTGGAAATACAAATATTGTAGTCTTAAGCAGGGGTGTACTATCAGGGAGAGTCTAATTTTAGAACATTTTCCTACTTTATGGACACATGTTTTTGAGCTACAAATCTTAAGCTTCCTGGATATTTAGTTGAGTAATACGATGAGCATTACCGGGGGGGGGGGGGGGCCAATCCTGGGGGGTAAAAACTCAGGGGGGTGGGGGACTTAAGGGGGGAGGGGCCCCACGGGGGGT